AGGGCATGGGCTGAGCAGGGTGCTGACCTGCTGGTGGAGGAGGCAGGCACTCAGCTGTAGAGAGGGCAGGGTGTGCCCCCCAATAGCCAATATAGTGAGGCAGGCCGCACTGCATTGCCCATCCAGGCTGCAGCCAGTCCTCCAAGAACCACAGCGCACAGAGCTGCTATGTCTGATCTGTATGTCAGGGGCTTGTGTCCCTGATGTGGGACCCTGCGCCTGTGACCATGGCCTAGAGGTCATGCAGCTCCCCCACAATGGTGAGCTCCCCTCTATTAAGTAGAGACACGAACCCAGGGGAGCAGCATGCTGCGTCCCACAGCTATGAGCGCCTGATCTGCTCTCCCAGAGTTCCCCCTCCCACAGACAGATGCCCTTCTATAATCACACCCCACACATTCTCCCTTGCATTTCCACTCGCTCTGATCCTACCCATTGTCATGTTGGGGCTTTTTTTTTTTTTTTTTGAATATAGATTTTTGATTTTTGAGAGAGGAAGAGAAAGAAACACTGATGATAGATAAATCAGCTGCCTTCTGCAAGCCCCCGACTGGGGATCCAGTCCACAACTCAGGCATGTACCCTGACTGGGAATAGAACTGGCATCCTTTTGGTGTATGGGACTACTCCCAACAAACTGAGCCACACTGGCCAGGGCTCACCAGCCACATTTCAACCACTCAATAGGCAAACATGGCTTAGTGGCTACAATACTGGACAACGTAGATACAGAACACTTCCTTCATTAAGAAAGTTCTATTAGATCATGCTACCCAAAATAATAGTTTACTGTATGTATAGCAAAAAGACATGTTATAAGGGTTGATACTATCCATGGTTTTAGGCATCCACTCGGGGTCTTGGAACATATCTCTTGCAGACAAGAGGGAGGGAGATACAACTATATCATAATTTTTAACTTGCAAATATGTTATCTTTAAAATTTTTGGGGGGTGGAATGCAGGGAACAAACTGATGATGACCAGAGGGGAAGGGGTTTTAGGGAATGGGTAAAAAGGTAAAGGGATTAAGAAGTACAAATTGAGCTCAGCTGGCATGGCTCAGTGGTGAGTGTCGACCTATGAACCAAGAGGTCATGGTTTAATTCCTGGTTAGAGCACATGCCCAGGTTGCAGGCTTGGTCCTAACTGGGGGGCAAGCAGGAAACTGCAGATTAATGATTCTCTCTCATCAATGATGTTTCTACCTCTTTTTCTCTTTCTTCCTCTCTGAAATCAACAAAAATATATTCAAAAACGAGGTACAAACTGATAGTTACATGGGGATGTAAAGTTCAGCACTGGGAAAATAGTCAATAATCTACACTAATAAAAGAGAAACATGCAAACTGACTATACCTCTGCTATGCCCAATAGCCACTCCCACCAGCCAATCAGGAGTGAATATACAAATTAACTCAATCAATATGGCAGCGGGGTTGCCCTGGCGATGGAGGAAACCAAGCTTTGCCCTGGCCTCCGCTCAAGGAGGCACTGAAACAAAAGGGGGCTGGGAGCTTGGGTTGCCAGGGGGTTGGGGGAGGTTTGATCAGGCCAGGATGCGACAGCAGTTGTTGGTGATCAGGCTGGTGGGGGGTGGGGCCACTGGGGGTAAGAAGACCAGCAGGGGGGCCAGTTGGGGGTGAGCAGGCCATCAGTGGGGGTCAGTTGGAAGTGATCAGGACAGCAGGGGGGGCAGTGTGGAGTGAGCAATCCAGCAGGCAGAGTGGTTAGGGGCAATCAGGCAGGCAGGCAGTTGAGTGGCTGGAGCCAGCAGACCCAGACTGTGAGAGGGATGTCAGACTGCCAGTTTAGGTCCGATCCCTGTAAACTGGCAGTAGGACATCCTTTGAGGGGTCTCAGATTAGAGGGTGCAGGCTGGGCTAAGAAACACTACCCTCCCATGCACAAATTTCATGCACCGGGCCATATATTATAACTGTATATGGTGCCAGGTAGGTATAATACTTGAATTACCAGGGGGAATACTTTATAAATTATATAATTACCTAACCACTAGGTTATATGCCTAAAATTAATATGAAATAATACTGAATGTCAATTGTAGTTTAAAAATAAAATTAAAAAAATATTTTTGGAGTGAGTAGTAATGCATGTGTATGGTAAAAAAAAAATTCAGGCCCTAATCAGTTTGGCTCAGTGGCTAGAGCATAGGCTTGTGGACTTGAAGGTCCCAGGTTTGATTCCAATCAAGGACATGTACTTGGATTGTGGGCACATCCCCAGTAGGAGGTATGCAGGAGGCAGCAGATTAATGTTCCTAACTCTCTATCCCTCTCCCTTCCTCTCTGTAAAAAAAAAAAATCAATAAAATATATATTTAAGAAAATTCAATTTTGTTCAAAATCCAAGTGAACCTCCCAACTGCCTCTGATGTCTGCTCCCAAGTTTCCTTCCTTGCAATCATTATTCCCAGTTTCTTACATTTTCTCAAAAAAGTATTCTGTTTTTAGTTTGTTTGTTTTTTTAAAATATATTTTATTGATTTTTTACAGAGAGGAAGAGTGAGGGATAGAGAATTAGAAACATCAATGAGAGAGAATCATCAATCAGCTGCCTCTTGCACAACCCCTACTGGGGATGTGTCCGCAACCAAGGTACATGTCCTTGACTGGAATCAAACCCAGGATTTTTCAGTTCGCAGGCTGACGCTCTATCCAATGAGCCAAACCGGTTTCGGCCTATTTTTAGTTTTTAAATCACTTATTCATAATAAATTATATGCTAAGGATATAACTGTGAATAAGACAGTTATTTCCCACAAAGAACTTAACATAGATTATCTCATAAATTAGCTAACAGATAATTACATAATTGAACTATATACTTCATTTTGAACTATGTACTTTTTAATAATCCTATCTATTAAAAGAGTAATATGCAAATTAACCATCACTCCATCACAAAGATGGAGGTGACCATAGTCACAAGATGGCGGCACCCAGTACCCCAGTCCTGGGAGGGCGGGGAGGGTCTGCCACTAAGAACAGGCAGTGTGAATGGCCTGGCAGAATGCTTTGTCACCATGGCGACTGAGGACCTCTGGTCAGCGGGTGCAGAGATGTTGGGGCAGGACACTTGCTTCAAAACGGCAGCGATGCCCCGGCCACAGGGGGCCTCAGGAGGACAGGGGGGCTGGCCCACGGCCTCCTCAGCCAAGCACAGGCCCAGAGAGGAGACTGTGGGCCTGCCTTCCACAGAAGCAGCACAGCTCCTTCTGGCACCTACACTTGCTTCCTACACGCAGCGTAGCTCCCGGTGGTGCGCTGCAGTTCCCGGCCTATTGCACGTGATTTTATGCTTTGGGCTACTAGTTATATATAAATGCTATAAAATATTAGAAAATAAAGAAAACTAAAAAGAGCAGTGGCATATTTAAAAAGAGGAATCTCTGCCCAGCTGGTGTGGCTCAGTGGTTGGGCATCGACCTATGAACCAAGAGGTCCCAGTAAGGGCACATGTCCAGGCTGCAGGTTCGCTCCCCTGTGGGGCGTGAAGGAAGGCAGTCAATCAATGATTCTCTCTCATCACTGATGTTTCTATCTCTCTCCCCCTCTCCTCTCCCTTCCTCTCTGAAATCAATAAAAATGAATGAATGAATAAATAAATAAATAAATAAATAAATAAATAAAATAAGAGGAGTCTCTTTGAGGAGGTGACAGTTAAGCAAAGCAGAAGTGAGAATACAAGTCAGGTGAGGATCTTGTAGAAGAATGTGCCAGGCAGTGGAATGACAATGACAAAAATCCTGAGAGAGAAACAAGTTTCTTGTATTGAAGGAACAGTAAGAAAGTCTGTGTGGCCAGAATGCCACCAAGTGGCAGGAGATGAGATCGGAGTGGCAGGAAAGACCAAATCCTGAAAGCAATGCCTTGTAGAATTTGTTCTAAAGTGTGATGGAACATCACTGGAGGATTGAGAGCAAGAGTGGTATGATCTAATGACATTTTAAATCACTTTCACTGCAGTACGGAAAACTATTAGAGTAAGTATGGAAGCAAGATAACCGACTGGATGCCTACTGTAGTCATTCAGACATGTGTGTACCAAGGTGGTGGTAGTGATTAGAGATGGTTAGATGGAACATATTATTTTGTGGTAAGAACCAGTTAAGAACTGAACAGTGATTAGGAGTAAAGGAGAGACTATTTAAAATGGATGGTCCAGCCCAGCGTGGCTCAGTGGTTGAGGGTCAACTTATGATTCAGGAAGTCACAGTTCTATTCCTGTCAGGGCAACATGCCCAGGTTGTGGGCTAGACACCCAGTAAGGGGCATGCAAGAGAAAGCTGATCCATGATTCTCTCTCATCATTAATGTTTCTCTCTCCCTGCCTCTCTGAAATCAGTAAAACTATATTTAAAATAAAATAAAATGATCCAAGTGAATTTCTTGAAGTGATGGACTATATCTTTTAATTTTTTAAATCCTTACCTGAGGATGAGTTTTATTAATTTTAGAGAGAAAAGGCGGGGGTGGGGGGTGGTTTGGATTGGGGGAGGGTGTGAGAGAAAGATCAATGCGAGGGAGAAACATTGATTGGTTGCCTCCTGTGTGTACTCCAACTGGGGATCTAGTTATGTGCCCTGACTAGGAACTGAATCTACAACCCTTTTGTGTATAGGACAATGCTCCAACCAACTGAGACATCCGGCCAGGGCTGATGGACTAGATCTTGATAGTGGTGGAGGTGGTTAGATAATCCATGCATTTGTTAAACATACTTTTACCCAAACTAAGTATCATTTTTAAGTTGTGTGACTACTTTAGGAACATTATTTAACTCTATAAGCTTCAGTTACTTCATAAATTGATAACTACCTACCTCATAAATTTTAAGGAGATAATGCTGAAAAATACTTTGCATTATTTCTGGCTTAATAATCATCACTATTGAAGTATGACAGTCTTTCTACACACCTTCTTTACAAGGAAAGGTTAGTTTTTATGTCTATCAGATAGAATTTTTTCCTGTACATACTGTACTGTCCGGTGCTAGTCTGATAGATGGAAGTTGGAACAGACATAGGAGTGACAGCAGAAACTCCAGGATTTTCTCCGTCTCCTTTTCTGCCCCGTGTATCTTCAGAAGATAGATCTTTCAAAATTTTTCTGTGAAAAATAGAACTCTATTAACGTTGGTAACGTGGGGTGACTTTATAAAAAGAAATGGCTAAATAAACCTTTTCAATCTCTGGTTAAAAGTACAATAATCTACCAGACACCTATAATGTATCAAGGAATTCTTTTGTCTAACAAATACTTTTTAATGATGTACTGCAGGCTAGTTATACTTTATGACTATCTGAAAAGAGACACTGTCAAATACTCATACAGAGTGCCTTTCAATGTACCAGGCCCTTGTAGAGGTATGAAATGTCGCTATCCCCTACAGGATGGCTCCACTGTGAGGGACTTCATTAATTAACATTTTCTAAATAGTGTCAGTGACTTTCTTTTAAAAAGATCAAATTTAATTTCTCAACCTTCAACTCTATAGTGGAAGAGAAGCCCACAGTTCTCAGAAAGAACAAGATTAGAAATACTATAAAAGTGCAGAGTATCAGTAATTTTAAAAAATGCTTACTTTAATAAGAAGAGGTAAATAAGATATCACAGGTACCTCTCAGACTTGGTAAAATGGAAATTATGACAGAAATAAGAGAATGAAGAGAGATTACTTATTGAAAAGAAAAGTTTTCCAAAATACAATTGGGGAGGAGGGAGAAATAAGCATTGTTTATTTCCCCAAGGGGGGGGGGGGTAATTACTCAAGAATTCCATGTTCACTATAGAAAAACCAGAAAACAGAAATGTACTTGTGTGAAAACATAACAAGAACCACAAAGGGAAAACACCCTTGGCATTAAAAGGGATTTTTCATGTTACCTATGCCAACCTTCCAGTCCATGTAGGAATTCCTTCTCTACATTCCTAACATCCGCTATTTCCAGTAATAAGGCACCCACAATTTCCAAAAAGCAAACCATTCAATTATTTAACAGTTAGAGCTCTTGTTAAAGACCCCAAACTGGTTCCACCCAGTGAAGCTAGAGAAATTTAAGTTTCAAACCTAATTCTATATCTAAACCCTACTTTGCAATATTTGACAATTGCTACAGGTGTTGGTTTTTGCAAGGCCAAATAACTAGTTCCTTCTGCTGCTCCTATATAGCATGCTGAAAATCATTTTCCAGCTTGGTCTCTTTACTCTGAACAGTCTTCCCACCAAGAGCTAATACAATCTTAGTCTGTATTACCAGAAGCTTCATACAGAACACAGGAGGTGGCAGTCCCTGTGTTGAGCATTTGTAGAAGTCACAGTAGTTCCTAAACCTGTTTATGTATCAGAATCATCTGGAGTTTTTATTGAATCCAGATTCCCATCTGGTATCCCTAATGAATGAGTGAGTAGGCTCCAGAATCCATTTAATGAGCTGCCTGCATGGTTTTATGCAACCAACTTATCATGAGACTGTGGAATACTATACTCATTTCTTTTTTTAAGTTATGAAACATTTTGAGCACAAAGAAAAGTAAATAAAAACACCTATATATCATATACCAAGAACCAATAGATGCTAATATTTTGTCGTATTTCAGATATCTTATTTAATAATAATTAAGTTACAGATACATCAATGTCACCACCAATTCCTTTCCTTTTTATCCCCCTCAAAGAACACCATAAATAATTGTGTATCATTCCCATATATATTACTTTATTTTTACTACATAGCATTTAGATATATTGCCATTGTTTTATATTTTTCATCTTTTAAAAAATAATTTTATTGTCAACAGTATTACAGATTGCCTCCCCTTTTGCTCCCACTGCCCTCCTCCCACCTTACATCCCTGGAACAAATCCCACTGGGTCATAGTGTATGAACTTTTTAATATATTGCTGGATCTGATCTGCTAATACTTTGTTGATGACTTTAGCATTTATATTCATCAGGGATATTAGTCTGTCTTTTTTTTTTTTTTTTTTGGTAGTGACTTTATCTGGTTTTGGAATTAGGATAGTGCTGGCCTCTAGGAAAGTGTTTGGAAGTATTCCTTCCCAATTGGATTTTTTGGAATAGTTTGAGGATGATAGTTGTTAGTTCTTTGAATATTTGATAAAACTCCCGTGAAGCCATTCAGGGCAGAACTTTTGCTTACTGGGAGTTCAATTTCATCAGTTGTTATCACCCTATTCAGATTTTCTGATTCTTCCTGGTCAGTTTTGGAAGATTGTATTTTTCTAGGAATATGTCCATTTCATCCAGGTTGTTCAAATTGTTGGCATATAGTTGCTCACAGTCTTTTCTTATAATCCTTTGTATTTCTGTAGTGTCAGTTGTTATTTCACACCTTTTGTTTCTAATTTTATTTGGATCCTGACTTTTTGTTTCTTGTTGATTTTTTTTTCTGGATGAGCTATCCAGTGATACGGTGGTAAAGTCCCTACTATGATTAAATTTTAGTCGATATTTCCCTTAAGGTTTTCCAGGAGGGTGCTCCTATATTGGGTGTATATCTGTTTAACAGGGTTATGGCCTCTTGTGTAAGTGGCCTTCCTTGTCTCTTATTATGCCCTTATTTTGTCAGGTATCAGTATTGTTACCCTGGCTTTTTTTTCATTTCTATTTACATGGAAAAAAATTTCCCCCCCTCTTCACTTGGTCTCTCATCGACAGCATTTATGTGGGTCATTTTCTTAGCTACCCATGTCTTTTGATTGGAGCATTTAAGTCATTTACATTTAAGGATATTTTTGATATTTGCTGGTTGCTATTTTATTCTTTGTGCCTGTGTTTCTTTCTATTTCTTCTTTTTTACAACAGTCCCTTTACCATTTTTTGCAGTGCTGGTTTGGTGATAATACACTCCTTTAGCCCTTTCTTTTTTCCTGCTAAACTCTTCATTTCATCTTCTATTATATTTTGAATGATAGCTATGCTGGATGGTCTTGGATTCAGTCCCTTGCTCTTCAATTACTTTGTATACTTCATGCTATTCTCTTCTAGCCTGAAGTGTTTCTATTGAGAAAGCTGCTGACAAATAGAAATTCTCTTGCAGGTAACTGTCTCTCTCTTCCAGTCTTTAAGATACTTTGTCTTTAATGTTTGCCATTTTATTTTTCCTTTTTAAAAACTGATTTCAGAGAGAGTAAGGGAGAGAAAAATAGAAACATCAGTGATAAGATTATTATTTTTTAGTATTTTTTACAGAGAGGAAGGTAGAGGGATAGAGTTAGAAACATCGATGAGAGAGAGACATCAATCAGCTGCCTCCTGCACACCCCCTACTGGGGATGTGCCCGCAACCAAGGTACATGCCCTTGACCGGGATCGAACCTGGGACCTTTCAGTCTGCAGGCCAACGCTCTATCCACTGAGCCAAACCAGTTTCGGCAAAAATTATTGATTAGCTGCCTCCTGCACATTACCCACTGGGAATTGAGCCACAACCCAGGCATGTGTCTTGACCTAGAATTGAATCCTGATCACTATTAACCAATGAATGAGTCACACCAATGGGGCTTCAATGTTTGCCATTTTAATTATGTGTGTTGGTGTGGGACTTTTTGGGTTTATCTTGATTGGGACTTGTTTCCTGGATTTGTATGACTTTTCCCTTCACCAGGTTAAGGAAGTTTTTTGTCACTATTTCTGAACTACCAGACTACTAAAATAGAGAACCTTGCTCAGATTCTTCTTCTGGCACATCTAATGATGTGGATGTAACATGTGAAAAATCATGTTAATAATTTTTCCAACTGCTGTTCTGAAAAATTTTTTCTTCTACCTTGTCTTCTAATTGGCTAATTTGGACCTCAGCTTCTTCTAGTCTACTGTTCATTCCTTCCATAATAGTCTTTATATCATCTATGTCATTATTCATTTATGCTTGTTGTTCTTACTAAGTTGTTTGTGTTTGTGCACTCTTATAACCTTTCCTTTGAATTCTTTACTTGACAAATTGTTTGACTTCATTTCACTTAGTAGTTCCTTTTTTGGCATTTCTTCCCTTTCTTTCATTTGGGGTTGTACTTTATCTCCCCATTTTCGTAGTCTGATAGACCAGGAAGGGGGCACTCCACTGCTCAAGGGGGCCAGGCAAGTCAGGCAATCTGCTATCCAAGGAGGCTCCACAGGTTGAGGGGGCGGGGCAGCCTGGCTCTCAGCTTGATGCAGGGGTGGGCTGAGCGAGCACTCTGATGATGGAGGAGGTGGGGCAGGTGCTCTGCTGGTCGAAGAGGCAGGCCCAGAGGACTGGGCTCTGTGTTGGCATAGGAAGTAGGACAGACTTCTCCAGGGTCCAAACCAATCAGGATACTGGTTTGCTACAACCCTCCCCTGGGTCTGGGGGCACTGGGTCCCAGCAATGGGGCTGTGGGTGCATGTATGTGGCCTACAAGTGCTAGCACATGGCCGCTTCCCTGCCAAGCCTCCAAAAAGGTCTGCTCTCCAATCTCAAGCAGAGAGCAGCTCTGCAGGAGCGCTTAAACTGCTTTCCTGCAGTTCCCACACTGACTAGCAGATGCCAGCCCACACACTCACACTTGCCTGCAGCCATGCTGGTCTTATTGGTTTGTTCTTGATAAGACTGTGAAAGGTTGTGCTTTACCTTTTAAGTAATCTGCCTAGTAAGCAAAAGATTCTGAGTTTAACAAAATGCCTTTAGCAGGTCTTTACTTTTCTTTTAAATTTCTTTATTGACTAAGGTATTACATATGTGTCCTTATCTCCCCTTACCCCTTCCAAGCCTCCCCGCTCCTCATCATGCCCTCCCCCCCATTGTCTGTGTCCATTGGTTAGGCTTATATGGCATGCATACAAGTATTTTGGTTGATTACTTTTTAAAAAATGGAGTGTTCTCTATGAAAAGAGTTAAGGTTTTTTTTAAAAAATGTTACTGCCCTAGCTGGTTTAGCCTAGTGGACAGAGCATTGGCCTGAGGACTGAAGGGTCCTGGATTTGATTCCAGTCAAGGGCACATGCCTGGGTTGCAGGTTTGATCCTCAGTAGGGGATGTGCAGGAGGCAGCTGATCAATGATTCTCTCTCATCACTGATATTTCTATCTTTCTCCCTCTCTGAAATCAATAGAAATATGTTAAAAATAAATAAAATGTTATTTTCTATATTTTGCCTTTGAAGTCTTTTGTCATTCTGGTTAAGCAGATAAATATTGTTTCACAGTGACCTACGATCCTATTTAATCAAGTGTTATAAAACATTTTGAGCCCTGACTGGTATTGCGCAGGGTTAGAGCATGAGCCAGCACACTGAAAGGTTGCAGGTTAAACCCCGTCTAGTTGGAGCACATGTAGGAGGCAACCAACTGATGTTGGTCTCTCTTCCTTCTACTCTCTCTAAAAATCAATGGAAAAAATATGCCTGGGTGAGGATTAACCAAAAATAAATAAATAAATAGATAAAAATTTAAAAATCATTTTAATAACTTTAATAAACTTCTCAAAAATAAATTATCTAAATGAAGTCTTATTGATCTTGAACTATTTTTGGGATTTTTCAGAGAGTCCCTGTTGCATCTCAAAAAATGTGTTCTTTCCTTTGTGAGAGAAATGTTAAACTAATTAAACTTATTTGACATGTTAAATTATATGGTAACATTGTCAAATAACAGTTGATATTAAACTTCTTTAGGTTATATTTGTATTAAATTCCTGAAATTGATATGTCCTCTTATTATGTCATCAATCATAATTGTATATCACAGAAATAATGAATGTTCGATGAGATCTTTAACCAAGAACATTTTAAAGTGTTTTGTCATTTACAATAACTGTTTTAACTCTGAAGTTTTTGCAAAAGTGCTTCATCTTCCGGGAGATTCGTGGAAAAGACCGACAAGTACAGGTTTCTGATAACTAATATCAATCAATTTGCCTTCACATGAGAGGCAATAATGAACCTTTCAAGTGCTTATCCAGCCTCACATGTGTCATGGATGGTAGGTCCAAGATCTGTTCCTGATGTGAAATAGGCACAATGTTAATGTTCACATGTGACGACTCTTGCAGGACACTGTGCAGACTTCGTTGGGATATCTGTGAGAGAGGATGGGCAATGAACTGCAAAAATTTCAAGGCTCAGGACCCACTGAGTAGCTTCTGGGAGTTGTTTGGTTGGGAAAGATGTGCATTGTCCCAGGAACTGTAATTGACACCCTATTCAACTCCTAAGAACTAGAAAGAGACACAAGCCTTTGCAGGAGTTTGGAGACTTGAGGCCTTTTATTCCTCCCTGGGCCGGTGCTTCTCTCTCCTAGTCTGGTGAAGAAAAGACTCACGTGGGATTGGGAATCAGAGTAGCAAGCCACTTTAGAAGGTAAAAATACTGGCGAAGCCCTAACTGGTTTGGCTCAGTGGATAGAGCGTCGGCCTGCGGACTCAAGGGTCCCAGATTCGATTCTGGTCAAGGGCATGTACCTTGGTTGCGGGCACATCCCCAGTAGGGGGTGTGCAGGAGGCAGCTGATTGATGTTTCTCTCCCATTGATGTTTCTAACTCTCTATCCCTTCCCCTTCCTCTCTGTAGAAAATCAATAAAATATACTTTAAAAAAATACTAGCTTATCTATGTATCTCTCAAGCAAGGCGACCCTATGAGTTAGATGTGTCTGTGACTCTGTAGAATACAGGTTTGAGCACTGTGGTAGAGACAACAGGTGAGAATACCCCTAGGATATTGGTCCCAGCTCTGGAAATGGGCAGAAACCCAATACACCCCTATGGATCAACAGCTCCTAGCAGTGAACACAGCTTTCCTCCTGATAGAGCCTCTCACAAAGCAACAAATCATGGTAAGCACTTCCTTTCCTCTCTACAGGTGGGTTTCAAGAATACTTTCCTCTCACCTCTGCCATGGCTCAAACCTCCACTGCGAGTGGCACACCTATCTGCAGCAGAAGAGCACTGTGCCTACAAGCCCCAATTCTCTAGAAATGTGGGTGCTACTCTATAGAATATATAGACCCTCCAAACGCTCCCATCCCTGTACCTGTGGTGGCCCTGAGGCCTGTAGAGAGGGAACGAGGGGAATTCCTGCTGACACCTGGTCTACAATGCCTTTAACAGATCAAACTGCAGCAGTCACAAGCTGAGCTCAGAGCAGTTTGTCTGGTGATCACTCATCAGTAATGGTATACATGCCTGAACTCAGTTCAGGCCCCTACATAAACTTTCAAGAGCTCTGTGCCGCATCTACTGCGAGCATGAAGACCACCCTCAGCAGGCTGTGGACATCACTCTGAAGGGATGCACAGTTATTGTGAAGGGCCCCAGAGGCACCCAGCAGAGGGACTTCAACCACATCGATGCAGAGCTCAGTCTCCTCAGAAAGAAAAAGAGACTCCAGGTTGACAATGGTGGGAAAATAGAAAGGAACTGGCCACAGTTCTCACAGAACATGATCAAGGGTGTTACTCTGGGCTTCCGATACCCATCACTAGTCATTAGTTCTGTCAGTTCTACCACAAACTGTCTCAAATACACCCATTCCTAAATTATCCCACTTCCCATGTGAAATCACCTATATTATTTCAACAGCCTTCTGTCAGTTAGTTGTACTACTTTCAGTTTTCTATTCATTCAACAATTACTGATATTAATCTTGTATTGTCACTTTGCTAGGCCTTGGATCAGAAAAAATATTACATGGGCCATGCCTTAAATAAACTGGATTTCTTGCCTGGCCAGGGTAGCTCAGTGGTTGAGCATTGACTGTTGATCGATGAACCAGGAGATCACAGTTCAATTCCTGACTGGGGCATAGCTCGGGTTGGGGGCTCGATCCCCTGAAGGGGCTTGCAGAGGAGCCAAACAATGATTCTCTCTCATTATTGATGCTTCTAACTCTCCACCTCTTCTCTCTGAAATTAATAAGTACTGTAACAGAGGGTCAGTAAAAGGGTGCCACAGAAGAAAGACTTAACCTAAAGTCTCGGGGTATGGGGAGAGTTGGAGAGAAGGTAATTAGATCAGAGAAGGCTTCAAGGAGAAGTGGGGACTTACGTATATGAAGAAGCTATGCAGAATGTAGAACAATGTGTTCCAGCAAAGGGACACATAAGAACAAAGGCCCAGAATTAGGAATTTAAAATTCCTAAAATCTCTAGTCCTCCTTCCATATTGCTATTAAAGTTAACTCTCTAAAGGTAAATGTGGAAATCTAATACTTTGTCAAAAGATAGGTCTAAATTCTTCTTTAGCTCAGCAACTTGGATCCTTAATAATCTGGCTCCAATCTGCTTTAATAATCCCCTTCTTGTACACACACGTGCTCCCTGTTTTTCACACAGCACCATTTGAAATCACTTGGTAATACAGCACGTGCACGGTTTGATACGAAAGGACTCACCTATAAGATGGACGTCTGGCTAGGATCCCGTGGGCTTTCTGTGAGGAGCCGATGCTATCAGAAGAGTCCTGAGATTCTTCACTTTCTGATAAAGACGATACCTAAAAAACAGAACTAGTTTTACTATGATGAACAATGCAGGTGGAAAAGAATTTAATTTTTACTTTTAGAAACAGTGATTTGTCTCCTGGTTCTCAAATTTACTTGTCAATTAATCGAAGGTCTAAAAGAAAGAAACAAAAGGAAATGGAAAAGGAGAACGTTTATTTCAAGAAGCCAAACTAATTAAGGGAACATACAGTGCAACTAGCTCAGAACTAAGAAGAATGTCTATCCCAAAATATCGATAAAACAATATTATTTTACTAGAGTTTTATTTTACTATTTCTATACTGTTGCACATTACTCAAAGGTGTTTTTTTAAACATGCTCTCTGACTTGGATTTTGGACAAGTTAATATTGAAATACTATTAAATATCCAACTAATATCTCACTATTAGATAATGACATTGAGGAGATTGTTGAATGTGCAAAAATCTGTGAGTCAGGGAACAAGCATGGGCTACATATAAATTTGGAAGTTACAACTCTATATATAGTCCTTAAAGCCATTAAAACTGGATAAGCTCAATCATGGAAAAATATAGAGAAGAGGACTAAGAACAAAATCCAGGAATATTAACGGGAAGAAGGGGAGGAACCAGCAGATGAAACAGAACAAGCCATCAGTGAGGTAGTAGGAAGACTCAGTGAGGGAGATGTCCTTGGAAAAGTGGAGAAAACAGTGTACAGAGGAGGAAACAATGATCAACCATGTCAAATTTTGCTAACAAGTGAAATAAAACAAGGACTGAAAACAGACCATTAGATTTAGCAAGGTGGAGGTCACTGGCAAGGGCAGGTATAAACATGTGCTACTTAAAAAAATCTAGTGAGTTAGTAATACATGTAAAGCACTTAGTGCATGGTACACAGCAAGCACACATTAAAGTTAACTAGGATTAGTAACAAATCCTTTAAAAGGATGTCAACAATTTTTAACTTACGTAATATCTACAATTAAGAAAAGTTTGTTTCAATTTTTAAAATGTATTAAATTTCCCAACACTTGTCCAAATTTGCATCATTACATTTCACTTCACCTTCATTTAAAAAATAAAATAACCCAAACAGGCTTCTAGAAAAGACATAACAAATTTACTATCTATAGAAAGTCTTCCCTAATTATTGAGACTTAGATCTTAACTTTCCAGGAAGCTTGTTTTACATGTTATAATAGTTAAATACAAGTTCTAGTGTACAACTACTTATTTATATCTTACATTGAATCTTATTTTTTTATAGAAAAGAACTGGTCACAACTTATAATAATTAAGAACTAATAAGAGTAACAAATGTAATGATTAAATTAAGAAAAATCTCACTTTTTTGTTTCCTTAAGCATCGTGGCTATACCATTTCTAATCTAAACCTTTAACTGTTTTCACTGTCCCTAAGTTTACTCCAAAGCGTCCCACTGAACTCAAGGAAGAAAATAATTTCTAAGACTAAGATTAAATATTTCTCTTTAACGACAGCACTAGCAAGTATGAGTAAAACCTCCACACAAAAACTCAAAAATCCAATCAGCAGCCACCTCTCATGTATAGAAACAACATAAAAATACAGCTCTAGAGCTGACAACATTGGCAGACACCATATATTCAGAAGGGAAAATGAGCAATTCTTCTAGGACAACTGCTTCTAAAAATGAGAGATGTCCAAAGGTATCATGGGATTCACAGGAGCCAGAAGATAAAATAGGAAGAAAGAATAGGAGCCCAGGATGGCTCTTTTCTTGCAGATATTAATATGAAGGTAGATGTAAATAAGAACTTTCCTCTATTAAGAGAGAACTTTCCTTTATCTGACCTCCATAAAGCATAAGGTAGGTGCTTTCTTACATTATAAGATGAGTGCTAATATTAACACCTTTGCTTCAGAATTCTCATTTTTGTGAAGGATAGATACCACTACTGAGATTTTTAAAAAATGTGCTTTCCCTTAAGAAATTAATTTCCTTTAGTCAAACACTCTGAAAGTGTTTTCACTCTGTGTGGTATACAGGGAGATGTTAGAATAAGATTAATAATTTATCATTCATTGTATCAGTGCTGTTTTTACATCATGTTGTTGTTTTTATATCATATCTTTGTTATTGTTATATCATCTTATGATTGTTTATTAACAGATATATATGATATTTTCATATACATTTTACTAAAAAAAAAAAACACAAACAAAAAAAGAAATTAATTTCTTTAAGTTCTAAGTAATAATTTCCCCAAAAATTATCTTCTATTTTCACCAAATAGTATATACATGAAACTAGAAATTCTAAAACTTTTCTATTTGCTTCATTTGTTTGTCTAATTTCCTTGACTTTATATCTTGTTTTATAATATAGTAGCTAGACAACTTCAATGTGTCTGAAGACTCAGGGTATAAAAGTCCCCTCTCTCAACCACTAAGTCTTTGAATTTCTGTACCGTTTGCACGTGTGGTGGGTGAATTACAGAAGACTGAGCTGTCTGGATGACCCCCTGAACCTGTACTTGCTCTCCAGGAAGAGGTACAATTGTCACTGGCGCAGATCCTCTTAATGACATCTAAGAACAAATAAAAATTCAATTAACAAAATATATACTATACCTATGCACATAAGATAGCTGAGTTCTTAACATGGGAAAACACATTGAGAGCTTATTATATTTAACCACACCTATTAACAGAGCATTAGGTCTCTTCTATGGCCCCGAGACTGCAGTAGGGGGTTAAGAGTACAAACTAATTACAACAAACAGAGTAAGAATTATAAGAGGAAAAACAGAGTCCTGTAGTGTGGGAGCAAAGAAAACATGTACTTCAGCTGGGTTTTGAAGGATAAACAATTCCCTGAATGTGTGTATGGTAGTGGTAGAGATCATGAGAAGGTATTTTGGACAGAGGAATTGACTGTGCAAAAAACACGGGAGGTTCTTTAGAATTTGTTATACTGAAAAGCTCTGTTTGAAAACCAATCAAGAGTCAAAAAGTGAGAGAAATACCAACTTTGGGCAATGTCTTTAAAGAAAAATAAGATTGCCGAAACCGGTTTGGCTCAGTGGTAGAGCATCGGTCTGTGGACTGAAGGGTCCCGGGTTCGATTCCGCTCAAGGGCATGTACATTGGTTGCGGGCACATCCCCGGTAGGGGGTGTGCAAGAGGCAGCTGGTCGATGTTTCTCTCTCACTGACGTTTCTAGCTCTCTATCTATCTCCCTTCCTTCTCTCTGTAAAATATCAATAAGATATATTTAAAAAAAAAAAAGAAAAAAGAAAAAAAAAAAGATTATTTTAAGTAAATAAATGAATCATGAGATAATTTATTTCTGGGGAAATTAAATGAGGTTTCGTGGAAATACAATAAAATGCTAAATAAATAAAATTAAAAAAAGACCACCATCATCTCTCAAGGCTCTCCTGGACAGATTCCTCTTTCAAGAAGCTTTCTCAGATATTAACAAGATCTCTCACCTTCCTCTGGACTACTCTGGTCCATACCATTCATCTTGAACTTAAATCACAAAAAACCAAGTTGCTTCTCAGATCCTGAAAGTCACCTTCCTGACTGCTCTCCCATTTGTATCAGGTCCCAAACTGTGCCTTCCTCTTTCATTAAAGGCCCTTTTCCCCTACCCAAGATCGGATTAAATTCCAGTCTATCATTACCCCAAAATGCCCAATCATGAAATTCTGAATATAAAATTTTACCCAGCTACTGAGAAATCCAAGTTCTCAGCACAAAGGAATCCATCCTACCCCCACCCCCAACACAAGCATTAAGGACATGACCAAATTCTAGCACAATGTCTATCAGCTCAAGGTCATGTCCCTAGGATGATAACCAGCCCCCTTAAAATGCATGGCCAAGAAAGTTCAATGCTGCAAAAGAATTTACTGTTTGTTTAGCCAAAACCTGACTATAGGCCCCTGACCTCATTTTTCTTAGACCATTTACTTTAGAATAAACTTGCAGTTATAAATCCCTTCTCTGATCCTTAAGAGGAAATCCTCCTACAACCCAGAACTTTCTTTTTCAAGGATTTTGGAACAATCCCTTGAAATGTAATCACCAGGAAGGATAGGCCCTTGTCTCCCAGTCTCTGTGGGAGGACAGGAGTCTAATTTTGATAAGCATCACAATGACTAACTTCCCTACCTAACACCTGGCATACCCCAGTGTTTAAAAAGGCTCCCACCTTTTGAGTCAGCAAAGTTGAGCTCAATTTATGCTGGAGTCTTTCTTCCCTACTACACTAGTCTGAATGAAATCCATCTTGCTGTCTTTAACAAGTGTCCAGCTTTGTTTCTCTTTGACAGTACTCCATAGGGGGCTACAGAAACCAAAGGGTAAAAATAAACAGAATTCACAACTCTTAAGAGTCCAGATCTAAAAACAAAATAAAACAAAGAAAAAGAACAACAAAGAGTCCCCTTACATTTCAGACTCCAACTGAAGCCACTCACTCACTGGGGAGAATCTTAATGGGATTAATTTATATTTCTAAAAGAATAAAAGCAATAATTTCTCCAGGTTTCTGGCCATCTTAGTGATGTTTGTGCAGACTATGCGTCTGGCAGGTAGAAAGTGGGAGAAAAGCACCTTAGCTTGCAATTATCCTTCCCCTTTACCACTGTTCTAACCTCAAAAATACAAAATGCTCATTACTCAGGCTCCCAAAGCCTCGTGTCTCCCTACCCTCATTCTCAAAGTTGATCTAAATCCTGACATTTCTCTCAGAGGAGCACAAAACACAGATGACTGCCTCCACTCATCACTTATCAACACTAACCAAGCTTTCTGCAACGATGAAATGTTCTATGTCTGAACTCTCCAATGGTAGTCAATAGCGAGTGAGGACTCATATATGAGTATCAAGCATTTTAAATGTAGCTAGTGTGACTGAGGAACTGATTTTTAGTTTTCTTTAATTAAAAAATCATTTTTTTAGAGGGAGGTTGTGAGAGAGAGAAAGCATAGATATAGATAGGTAGACAGACAGATAATTGGTTCCCTCCT